CAAAAGGGAAGGTACTTATCTAAAGCAATCCTTTCATCACAGAGGAAAGGCTCAAACCCCTAACCTAAACCCACTGAATTTGGAGACTTGCACTTAATGACTGCTGCTGTAGTAGGAACACAGGTCCAGAGTTTTACCTAAAAACTGGAGAGCTTACAGTTTGCAGACTTTGAATTCGGCACCTGGTGCAAATTAAATAGAGCCAGGCATAGATTAATCTTGGATAGCTGAATTTCCGGGAAAAACCCACATCCTTCAGAAAGTTAGGCTTGTAGATCCAGGGATGCTGCTGCATCTCCTGCAGATATAGAGGGTTTTTTTTTCTGCAGGAGGTGCTCACAGACAATAAACAGAAGTCAAGAGCTGGTCAATTTGAGGACTTTTTACAGGAGCAAAAATGACTGTGTAGCCTTGAAGGGACTTGGTTTGAGAAATCACATGAACTCTACCTGCCAAACTCCTTCTCTCTGGGTTCAATCGGACAAGCTGTCATTCATCCCTCATGTTAATCCGTTATACGCTTCCACTGTCCGTTTTCCAGCAGCTCCTCATTCCCCCAGCAGGGAGAGATGCACGCAAGCTGAAGAAGTGATTCTTGTTAGAAATCAGTATCCTCAGGTTTTAAAAACATATGTTCTGCCACCACATCCTCCTCTTTCAATTCTCAGGGGCCATTCAATTTGGGACCAAAAAACACCAAACCAAACCAAACCGACCCCCTCGCCCACACACACAAGTTTGGTTAAGGTAGCTATTTTCCCACCAGAGCTCATTCTCTTTTCATATCTGTTATCTTCTCAATTATGACCTAGTTGTTTTACCACCAAGTGAGGTTGTGCCAGCATCAGTCCTGTCAGCACTTCTCCAGCTCAGCCCCCTTCTCTTCCCTTTGGAGAAGCAGAGCTGCTCTACTTTCTGAGGACCAGCAGGTGAGGCTAATCCTGCCCATGCCCTAGGCACGGTAGACATACCAGTAGTGCTCATTTTCCCCTGCCCCTTTTTAAAATTGCTGCTTTGAAAAAGCCAGTCATCCCCACGTTTATCCTAGCACTCCTTCTTGCAAATACAGGACACCTGCTCCTGCAGTGCACATTTCCTGCAGCACAGAAAATTGTGACCATTTCAAATGCTACCTTAACAAAAATAAAATAAAATAAAATAAAGTCCAAGAGAATATTCTGACCGCCAGTGGCTGCTCTCTCCACCTTAACCAAGATCAATTTGACATAAGCCATTCACTTCATGGTTAACCCCGGAAAAATCCTGCGGGAAATATAAACTCATGCATTAATCCTGCTCATCAGTTTGGTTCCGCTTAGGTCTGGATGAAGGAGCTGCCGTGTTGCAACCCAGACCCAAATTTACTGCTTTGTGTGTTTTAACACAACAACGCTCCAGAGCCCTTGGTGATCCTCCCACAAACTCTTTATTGCCGAGGAAAGAAAGAGACAACACTGTAAGTGCCGAGCATTACAATGAAACATAATGCAGCATTAAAGTTGCTCTGTGCTTAATGCTGTGGTTTAAGCAGCTAATCTTGTTTCGGTTGAATGGCATGTTCATTACAGCAAATAAATCAGTAACGTGTGGGATTACTGAGGAGGAAAGACATATTAAACCAGTTTAGGGCATCATATTGATTTTTTTTTAGTGTCCGATTTAGCTTGGCGTTTTTCAACAGTCAGTTCTAATAAACGCTTGTATAGCAAAGATTAAGCAGGTGGGAATGTTGCCCAGAAAGAGTATTATGAATAACTTAAGGCACTGGTTTAATTGCAGCAATCCATGATACTAACTGTGCTGGCACCAGAGTGGAATTTTCAGTATTAAAAGTTAAAGCTTCAACAGAGCTACTAGCAAGTGTCTCTCTTCTATTACACCTTTGAAACAGCTTTCCAACATTTTCACCTTAGATGGGGCTAGGGGGGGCTTTCACAGTTCATTTAACTCATTCCCAGCACAATTTGTTAAGTCATTTAAAAAAAATAATGAGCAGTGAACTTGATGCAAGTTTGCATCTCTGACTCAGCAAAACATTACGGCACGGTCCTTGCTGTCCTGCCATCCGATCCTTCCTGTTCTGTCCTTTCACGTTTGCGAGGAAACCGCATAGAAGCAAAACAGCGCAAACCCAGCTCACACTTCAAACTTCAGTCTCTTTCCAAAAACGCTGCCATACCATACTACATTCCTTAACCGCAGTTGCTGGCTGACGGGCTGCTGAGGCTACGGGGAACATGTTTTTTATTCAGACTTGTTTCTCCAAGCCGTGGCAAAGGCAGTGCCGGGGAGGTCGCTCTCTACACCCGCGCGCGCAGCAGGGAGTCTGGAGCGCGAGGAGCACACGTGGGTGACACCACAGAGCCCGGCGTAGCCAGCACGGAGCTGTGCATGCACAGCCAGAGGTCCTGAGCAGCCGATCCCGCTCTGGAGATGGCCCTGCTTGAGCAGGCAGCTGGACTAGGTGACCTCCGGAGGTCCCTTCTGACCCAAGTGATTAGGTGGCACCTGGGAAGTCCCTCTCTGCCCTGGGTCAGGGCAGTCTAACTGGGTCCCAGTCCCAAAACAGGGCCAAGAGGAGGAGAATTGCAGCTAAGGTTCAGGTAGAAGAGCAAAACAGCTTCTGATGCCTAAGGGCCTCACCACAGCTTCAGTAATGTCTTTGCACCTACAGGGAGTGAAACACTCCTATAAAACACCAGCAGCATTTGCTGTCAGCTAGCTTCCTGTCCCACACAACATATGCAAGCACCTAAAAGCAAGGACTCAGCAGGAAACACAGGCAGGAAAGTTTTGTTTTGGGGAAAAGTACAGTGTTCTCTTCTCTGTACAGGGCTGAAAGTAAAACTCCTGCAAAATTAAAACCCTTCTTTTCTCGCCCCCTCCAATCCAGATGATGTACAAAGCTCTGTCTTAGCCTCAATGAACATCAGAGAAGCAGGAGGCCTCGTGGGTGCTCCCACATACTCACATTAGCCAGCACAAACCAGAGGTGCCCCAACTGGCTCCTCTGGCCTCCAAGCAACTTGTTGGGAGAAGTAGTTTGGACCAACACCATCCTTCAGGCAGAGCAGATGCAAGGGCTGAAGCTGTAGCTTAGACAGGCTAGCGGGTCCAGGTCCAGATCACGCCAGAAACTCTGCTGATGATCCACAGAGATGCCGTTATCTACGAAATACTTGCACTCCAAAAAGGTTAACATGCAACTGACTCTGGTCATCATCTAATACCCTCACACAAAGAGGGTAAAACAAGATCACAGTACCTCCATTTCCTTCCTTTACATATTATTTTTGCCTTGGATTAGACTAGGCTTTCCAAGCCTGCATTTCAGATCCGGGCACAGCACAACAGTACTCCTGCTATAGGCAAGTCATCCTGGCTGACTCCACCAAAGCAGCAACAGACACCGATGGCAACACTGGGAGAAGTAACACTTCAGAGGAGTTAGAACTCATTGGCTCTACTCTTCCAACGTGTAACTTTCCACATTGGTGAAAATGCACAAGGTACACCCTGGCTACAAATCCTGCACAGCTGGGCTTATTGAAAAACAGGCTAAAATGCTTTCACCCTCCCTAGAAGGAAAATTCACAGTAAACTATGACAGGAAGTTACCCATACATTCTGATTAGGAGTGCAATGACTTTGCTGATCGCACAGCTCTTCGTTCCACAGAAACTCTGTATTCAGGGCACGAAACCAAATGTATAAATTAGCAGAAATGCAAGTAGATTTGATGGCACTTGATTAACTGGACAGTGAGCACCAGAAGCAAAACATTATGAATCCGAAGCCATTTTGTGAATGTAGCAGGCATTTAACAAAGATGGAAAAGAGCAGCCATTACAAAAAAGCCCAAGTATTTTTGGTTTGTTTCATAGAAAACTCCAGTGTGCAGGGCGAAAGAAGTGCCCTCAGCTAGCTCAAAATAAGACAGGAGCCCTGTTGAGAGCCTTTAACCCAGATTATTTCAATAACATCCACATCACAGCTCAAGTGTGGAGGCCAAAGAAAAGCGCTTCCTTTTAGAAACCTCAGAAGCAAGTGCCAGTTGCCTTTCTGCTCTTTGCTTCATGTCATCTGGCAAACACTGGCGGGGATCTGGGCTTAGCTGCTCCTGCTGCCAGTCCTGAACCTCACCTCCTCTAAGGTGCCAGAGCCCCCACCCTTTCCAGCTCAGTTGCAATCAAGGCCTCATTACACCTTCTCTTCTCAAGTTGTTTTAACTGTCTTTGAACCACCTCTCCATTCCAAACACTTCACCCCAAGTATATTTATAGACACCCATTTCCACCTTCTGCTACTATCTGAGCCTCTGCTCCACTCATCAGGTAAATCCTGCACTCATCCTGCTTGCCCTTCCCTTACGCTTACTCTCTGTTAAACCCCCTCTGTCTGGAATACATGCAACCAGAACTGTACCTAGCTCTCCAGATGCAGCTGCACCTCGTGCCCCGGCACTACTACTTTCCCAGCCTGTATAGGAGCCCCTTGCTCATGACAGATCAAGCTTTAAATCTGCCTTTGAGACATCTGTATCACATCACTAGTGCACGCCGATAAAGTCATGAGCTGAGATACGCACATCTCCTCACTGCGATATCATTTTAAGCTGATCTTCCAGCTGAACAGCAATTCAACCCTGTGACCACTGAAGCTGAAAGAGTGCCCCATACCTATTACTGACAAACGAAAACCTTCACGCAAAGAGAGCCAAATTATCCCCACTATCCTGTCCCACGCACACCCATCCAAGAAGCTCCTTTAGAACTAATGGCAGTCTTTCCATGTTCTTGGGCAGGTTTTGTCTGAGCTCAGACTGGAGTTCCTCGTTTGTTCTGTAATTCAGTGCAGCAAGCACTGCTTTGAAAATGTCTTTCCCCTCTTGTTTTCTTGCAAAAGGCATAAAGAATATAGCCAGGTGCTTCTAAACACAAACCCAGAAGGGCAAGACTACAACACTACTATAAATGGAGCAATTAAAGTAACCACACTGCTCACTGTTTATTGACAATCTTTATTAGAGCTGATTTTCAGTGTTTAGAGGTTTCCTAACACAAGTATAAATATACATTGAAGTGCTACCCCAGAGTAAGAAATCTTTATTTGCACAAAAAGATACAAACAACTGGTATTTCCAAGTTCATCCTATTTAGGACATGTAACGCCAAAAAGGCAAAAGTAAACCAAGATGAAAGATTAGCAGCAAAAAGAATTTTAGTTCTCCTTCACACAGTCTGTGTGCTCCCACATTTCTCTAAGAAACAGAGCGTAAAGACAATTCAGGTAAATTTATACATGAAACTGCCTACTAAAATTATAACACTGCATAAAGAAAGTTAATATTACAAAGTCTGGAAAAAAATAGGAGATGTAAGATTAAAAATCTCCAGTGTAAACTTTACTGCTGCTTTAAAACAGAAAACAACAACAAAAATCATATGAGTATTTCCGTTTGGCTTAGCAGCCAGGGAAATAAGAAAAGCTGGGTTTTTTTTTTTTTTTTCATTAAGTGCTTAACCACCATATCCAGAAGTAATGACTTTCAGACCTACTTAACATGAATGTGCTCAAAAAGCCACTGCTTACAGTATAAAAGCAGTCATTCTGAAACGCTGCACATACAGATTGGCTTTATCTGCATGAATGAAAGATTGCTTTGAACAGCTCTCAATCATATGATGTCCCAAATCAATTTAATGCTATTAGGGAAGGCAGCTGAACAAGTCCCAGAAAGTTAAAGAATAAAATACAAAAATAATATCCTTTTTTTTTAGGGCAGTGTGCCTCTCCCAGCTGTAAGAAGATAACTTTCTATTATTGTTACAAACTACCTAGGAAAAAAAAATAAATGTTGACCTAGTAATTCACATGGTTAACAGAGGGTGATAACCACTTCTTAGTGATAAAATACAAGAAAGCAATCATGAGGGTGGGGCCAATCACTAACACATTGTTTTACATAATACTAAACAGACTGCCAAACTTGAGTTTAAAACTCATACTATGTTCTGACTCAAAAAATCCCAATAGAATCAGTGGCTTGAAGGGCTTTAGGACTGTTTTGTTATATATTTATTTCAGTCTTTGTGCAAAGGAAAAGTTACACAGATTGAGTCCCAAAGCAAGTAAAATACAAAAAGCTGTTTGGTAATTTTTTGATATATCTCAGACACACAGGCTCCCAGAGAAATTTAATTTTTCAGCTAATATGGCCACTCATTTTTAATCTCACAGTTATAACACACACACCCCCCTAAAAATGGGAGCAAAGGCTCTAGCTTTCATTAACCTCAAGTGTAACTGTAAGAGTGGTTTCAATTCACCACTCTCCCAAATTAGGACCATCAAACACCAAATTGAACTGTGGGTATTGCTGCAGTAGCACTGTCCATCCCTGCAGTTATTCTACCACCTCTACCTCACTTTTGGAATCCTGCAAGGTTACATTTATTTACATTCACCTATTTCACAGGGCTAATTTTTGAACATGTTTCTTGAAAGTCAACAATTCCCAACATAGCCCTTCAGGATAGCTTTTAAGCTAGAGAATTCTCTAGTTCATTTACTGCTAAAATATGTGGTATCTAGAAAAAGGTAGCTTTTTCCCCTACAGTGACAGTGTTCCTGCAAACACCTCAGTTTTAAGCCACAGCAAGCTGTACATGAGCAAATTCAGCATCTCCAGTGTCTTGACTTTACCTCACTTCTCCATAAAAGCAAAAAAATAAAAATAAAAAAAATAGACTTTATAATTGAAAAGGGAAAGGAAACAACTCAATAAAGAGACAAACAGGGAAGCATTCAGTTGCACAGGCAGACATCTAAAATAAGCCTCTGAAAATTTAACATTTGAAAAGCAATGATTTTAGTGGTTTAAGTGTGCAAGTGACTAAATATGCCGCCTGTTTCAAAGATAGCTAAATACTGTAGTCATCAATGATTACTATTCATGACTAGCACTGGCAGTTCTGTTGCTTTTGTTGCTGGCATTGGACATAATATATTACCACTTCCTCTGCATATTTCATGCCTTTTACAGAGACCATCACAATCAACTAAGCAGCATGGCTTTAGAGAGCACTATTGGAAACAGAAACTTTACTTTTTTTTTTTTAAATGGTCTCACATACGTCCAAGATCTGACAAGACTGAATATTACATGGAATTAAACATAACATTTCAAATAGAAACATCAAAAATTATTTCAAGCTTCTCCTGTCTGTGAGAATCACCTCGGAAAGACTCAGGATCTCAGACAGTTCAGAAAGGAAGACAACGGCACGACAGGCTTCTGTGAAATAAATACGAAAAATCAAAGAGGAAAAAAAGCATGCAAGGGAAGTGTAACAACTCTGCTGATGACAAGTACAAAAGCTTAAGAGTCAGGAAAACATCAGCTTCAGCCCGAGCCTGAAAAAAACCCCACAGATTTTTCAAAACCAGAGTCCATACAGTGTCACACAGCCCTGCCTTGTCATGTTTGTTAATACCCTCGCTTAGAAGTCAGACAGCATTTTGTTTAACTTGTGTTGCTCTGTATCATTACACTAAACCATAATTAACTCCTCTTTTGTGTCGGCCTCATTCCAACACAATTGTACCCACTGTATACCAGCAGCAGTTCTCAGGTTTTGTTTTGCAGCTCAGCTGTATTTTTCTTGGATGTTCACAAGACTGGCATTTGACTGGATACGCTTGGCTAGAAAGGGAAAAATTATATGAAAATTAAACACAAAGAATTCCACAAAACTAGTCTCTCCACTCCCTCTATTTATCAGACACAGACTTGCAAACAGCTTTCTGTTCACGTCCAGAAACTTCAATGAAAAGATATGGCTGCAACTCTTCACTACCCTTCTTCAGGGTACAGCAGCAGACTAATAGTCGCCATTAGCTCCGTCGGCACAGCTGCACGCAGATCTGGCTGGCCTCCCTCCCACAAGAGCCAAGAGAGTCCCTGGCACCACCCAACTCTAACAGTGAAATGCCAGCAACATCACTTACGCAAAATGAGTATGCGTTTCTTCTGCTTTGAGTGAAGGAAGCTACTAAGATAAAAAACAACAGGTAAGAAGAGAATGAAGGATGAAACCGCAATCACTGGGACTGTATCGCTGCAGGGAACAGAACAGTTGAAAGTCCTGCTCCAAAGCTTCCGAGTGATGTTCATCTAAAAGGAAAACATGAACAAGCGGTGAGAGAGAGCACATGCATCTGCTGTATAGCAGAATACGATCTCAGAAAAAAAAAAAAAACAATTTAACACATCTCCCCTCAAAAGCAAGCAGAAATGTAGAAACAGACAACTTGAATGAAGCCACAGCTTCAGATCAAAACCTTCACAGGCTTCAAAAAAAACTACACTCAAATATACTGTAGACACTGCCACAAGCCTGTTCCCCTGAGAACTTGCTGACAGCCTGTAGAGAGGGTTGCTAATCTCACACTTTCAACAACTCTTTGTTTGCCCAACTGCTTAAAACCCCACAATACAACAAAGCTTTTTCCAGATACATGTTGCCAATACTGAAGACTCCTGGAACGGAGCTGCAATAATAAGGAATCAACTATTACAATGACTACAACAATAAAGCAAAGCTTCATATCAAAAGCCAGAAGATTAAGAGACTTTTTTGAAAGTCCATCCCCCCCTTACAGTAACAAGAAATTAGCTACTCAAACTGCAACGTGCTCAAGCAATCAGGAACTTTTGCCACGCTCCTACTGCTCTGATTGAGGACAGAACCTAACAAACCAGCCTCACTGGGCTAGCTTTGCTTCTGGGAACATCCTCTCCACATGAAATTAGCCTGTCAAAGGTACTGCTGCCAGTACCTTTCCAAACTGAAAAGGAAAAAGTGAACTCTAGCAAGACAAGTGCAAACAGCTCAGATTAATAAAGAGCTCCAGAGCAAGGTCCCCCCCCACCCCTTGGGCATTAATAAATACTTACTGCATCTTCCACATCAATACACAAGTGCGCCGAGTGTCCTGACTCACCACCTTGTCTGTTCATCCTCTGTAAGTTGTTATACAGGTCATTCAACATTTTGTAGGTGGCATTGCAGTTTTTACATACTTCTGTGTAGTTATTTGGCGACAGATCGATAGTTTGTCCCTAGAATTATAAAATAGCATTCATATAGAGTTTTAATGCATTATAAAAATCCTCAAAACTATCAACTCCCAAGAAAGAAAAAAAACTGCTAGTATTAAAATATTATTCTGGAGCCACAGATCAGGTTTTCTATCACTGTTTTTTATTTTTCATTTGCTGATAGCTAAAAAAACCCTCGTTATTACTGTGCTGTACTGAAAGCAATACACACAGGCCTTCACTGCCATTGAACGTTAACGCAACACACTTGAAAACAAAACTACAATCTCTAAAGATATTCCAACCCAGTAATTGCTGCATCAGCTACCCAAGGTAACACACTGGGCTATGTTCTAGTTTGAACACAAAGTGATTAACAGACCAGTCCCATGGCGCTCCTGGCCAAGGCCTATAAAGGCACATTTCCTAGAAATCATTAATTAATGAGAAAAAAGGAGACAGTTTTCTCAGAGCCTGTCCTGCACCCATCGTTTTCCCATTTTCACTATTGAATGACAACCTAGCTAGTTTCTGACTGACATGGAATATGCAGTTTCTGAGGATATTTAAGGCATTTTCTTTGAGGACAATTACCACACTTATTTCACAAAGCGAAACATATTGCCTCTGTAATATGAACAAACTTTGGCTATCAGCAGTCTTACTGGTTAAAAGAATTGCTATGATGCTTTAGGGTAGCTGGTCTTTCTGGACTAGAATATATTATGAGAACGTTATTAAAAGATTGAAGTGAGAGGACAACAATTCCACAAAGAGGCAGAAAAAGACAGCATGCAGAAATGACGTTACTTACTATATAATTATCAACTATTGTGAACTCAAATTCTGATGTGAAGTAGCATTGCAATTACACACAAAATGAAGTCAAGGTGAACATCAATTAGAATTAATTTCAGGCTCCCAACCTGTAAACATCTGCATTTTACAGATCATTGCTCTACCTGCCTAAACTGCCAGTGCATTTGCGAATTTTATTTGCCTAACATGTATCCACTGAAACTCCTTCAGCATAAATAAGATTTTACTAGCAATTAGAGGATTCAGTGCTTCTTTTAAATATACAGCATAAATACCTGAAGGTTATGTTCAAAACATGTCAGAGATTTATTGAATAAATCCAGGAATTCTACAGTAGAATTTGATAATCCCTCACTGCTGTTCTTTAGGCAATCTGTTCAAGAGAAAGAAAAACATCAGGATATTCTAATTTCTAACATTTCCACAGCCAACAAGTCCCAGACACTCCACACTTACACAAAGAGCTCTCAACTATAAAAGAGAGGTCTAGTCAACATTGCATTTTCCTTAGCTGCCCGCCATTGATGTCTCAGACCTGCTGACCTAACTCGTGATCAAGAACAGATTTCAGAATTAATTGGCCTTGATTAAGTGAAAGATGAGGACCACCATCAAGAACTTTCTGAAGAGGGGATCTGAATTATCTTTGGGCTTTAAGATGAAACAAGACATTACTTTTATTTTCTACCCCACAAATCTGGCTCTGCCCAGCAACATTAACAGCCGTTATGTGAAAGGAGAAGCAACAGAAGCAGAGATGTAACGCAGAACATCCAGGAAACAGACAGATCATGAACACAACAGTAGAAATCAGAGCAAAGGTTATTACTGTTTAAGAAAGGGGCTGACCCTTTCATTGGCTTTGAAGGGATCCCTGGGACTTTCCTCCTAATCACAGACCCACTCAGCCCACCACTTTCTCTCTTTATGTCCATCTATCCCACTCCAGGCACTCCGACCAGCTAGACCTTTGAAAATCTTAATGGCCCAGGACCTCGGATGTTCAGCAAGGGCCAACACCCTAGACAATCCTCGAGAAAGAAGGGAGCACCCCCAGTGTTGAGGGTAGGTGTTCAGCTGGACCCTGGGAAGGCAGCACACAGGTCACAGCTTAAACACGGCAGAAGAGCAGGATCCACAGAGTGCCTCCTTTACTGCTTTTCCTGTCCTCACAGAGCCCAGAGCTGCCAGCGGAAACCACCTCTTCTGTGCTATCAAGGGATTCTAGCAAACCCAGCATGTTTAGAGCTTAGCTCCGTGGTGCTATTCACACTGTATTCTAGCACACCTGTTAGCACAGCACTACAGGTCACGCATCAAAGGAAGAGCGACCAAGACCACAGCTCTAGCAAGAAGCGTGGCACAGCACCATCAGAAAAATACCTCCAGGGAGAGATGCTTGTTTAAATAGTATGGCAAGCAAATCCTATACAGTTCTGATCTGAGCAAATTTTAGCAAACTTAAACTAAGATATAACAAAAACATGAAAGCTACAGAACGAGTCACATACTTGCACAGTTGGCTGCCTCCCAAGTTTCATTAAAGAACTCTGAAAGCATCACAACCACCTGCAGCCTATCTGAGGTCAAGATGCTTTTGGCACAATTGTGGCTCTCGGAAGAATTCTGGAAGAAAAAGAATTAAACATTATAATCATGAAGAGAAAATTCTGAAAAATGTTTTAAGCAAGAACAGCTAACAGTAATGTTTCATCACACAGAGATTCCCAGAATAGGCAGTGCAGAATCAATGCAACAATAAAAAATCTTTTGTTCCTCTAAATCATATTGTGAGCAATACAGTTTACTTGACAAGGTCTTTGAAGACTTACTAGGACTGCATGGAAGTCAGTCAAAAAAACATACCAAAAAAAAAAACGCACCGAGACAGAAGCCCCCCTCTGCCAAATAGTTCATATTTCTGCACTGCTGCCCCAGAAAACAGCTCAAGCCACGCACAGCCAGAGAGAAGTACAGGGTCATTCTCATTAGACTGAAGGTATATTCTGAAGCTGAACCAATGCAAATGGTCTCAAAACAAACAAACAGGTAACAAAACACAGTGTCCAAAATGCTGAATCAGTGTATTGTATCAGCAGCAAACTTTCTCCAGGTCCAGCTGCACCAGGAATGTAATCCTCACAAAAGCAGCCATTCCTGCAAGCCTGTTATCAGACCAAACTCTTTCCTTCAGTAGGTCTAGGTGTGAAGCTGATCCCATCCTCAGAGCAGAAAGACTGGTGGAATTCCCAGAGCAACTCATTCTCTGGGTCAAACTAAAAAATTGCATAGTGAATAGAAAAGTAGTGACAGAATAAAAATTAAATGAAGTATCCCTATTGGAATTTAGAATATTTTTCTCCTTCAAAGTTTTAATTTCTTTTTCTCCTCATGTCATTGATCTACAGCTGTGATCTCCAGTCAGCTGACTCCCGTGCTCCAGTTCCCGGTTTCTAGCTGCTAAATTGACTTAAGAACTCCTCAAAATTGCCAAAAGCCTCTTTAATAGTCATAAATGCATGGACATATAAGAAAAGCATCTGTCTAATGAGAAACAGGCTACCCACAAAAGTTTAGGAAAGATCCAATTTTCACTCTCCTTTGTGGAAACAGGTTTATTTTTGAAATAAATAAGAATTTTCCCTTTGAGACCCAACTGCAGAAACCTGTACTACTGCCATATCTGGTAACTCCTACTTTCATTCACTTTCAATTCTACTAAATGACATACAGACATGCAAGAAAGTTGTTTATGCAGGAAACCCTCTGGTTGCTTCATGGAGGCCTTTAACTGTGAAACTTCCTCATCAGCTTGACTCGTGAGCAAAGAAAAGCAGTTTAAATCCTAAATAGGATATAGTAGACCTAAATCATTCCCTAAGGATGTTTGCCTAACTTACTATTAAATAAGCCCGATGAGGAGGAGGATTTTACATCGCAGAGATGTCCAAAATTGAACATGGCTACTTCTTTCACATCATAGCATAATTATCGCACGATGGCCAAGAAAAAAAAAAAACTTCAGACAGATAACCCATTACTTTCGATTGTGGATTCAGGTCAGAAGAGGTCACCTCTTCAATATATTTGTTTAGTTAATCCATTCACAGAAGGAAAGCCAAGCATTCTCCAATATAGATTGGTCTTTCAGAAGAAATTATTGAACCAGCCCCCTGCTCCGGGCTGCCAGTACTCAAGAACAGCACCTGCAATGGGTTCATACATACTGAAAGTACTGGGACATATTTGGCAACCTACTCCTAGCCCAAACCATTGAGCTGAAAGCATCCAGAGATTACTTTTTGCTTCCTGAATTGTACTGCATTTCAGTAGAACTCTATACCATTCTTGAGGCATTTGAGACCCATTAAGATGTCATCTAACGGACGGATAAAATTAATGCTCAATTTCTCACTTTTACATTACCAAATCAGAGGTATGGAACAACTTCCACATCAGAAGCAATAAACAGATTACAACTTTCCAAACCAAAGAAGAGGCATACTGGCTAGGTATTTGCCCTGGAGAAGGCAAATACCATACGAACATCCCTTAGCTCTTCCAGTACAAGAAACAGGGGAAAACTGGCAGGCAACGCATCAAAACCAAACAGAAAGTGATACTCCTTCACATGACTGGTACCTAAACTGTGGAAACCATTTGCGACAGTACACTGTGGTGCCAAAAGTTTACATGGGTTTAAACAGCCATAGATTTTTCATGTCAATGCCAATTCCAAATAAACATCCAGAAATCTCTGAACCAGAAGCATATAACCTGGGGACAAGCTCTCTCTTCCTGTATTCTTCTCACTCACTTCTAGCCATCAGCTGAGAAAGGATAAAGGGCTACAGGGACCTTTGATCTGATCCACTACGGCCATCCTCCCAGCATCTCAGAGACTTTTACAAATAGGTAAGCAGTGTGACCTTAAAAAAAGTTTCCAATACACAAGATTAGTAATAAACTACCTCCAACACTGAGAAATAAAAAGAAGATTAACAGGCTGGAGGGCATAAATGGAAGAACTGGCTTTCGTCAGAGTTTCCCATTTTTAAGATCCACGTACTCTAGCAAAACCTCAGGATTTCTAATTTGCTGCCATGCACTCATTAGATTTAGCATTAAAAACACTGTGATGCAGTTTCCCACGCAGGATATGGATCACTTGCCAGAACTCTAAATACCATCTGTTTTCCATAAAGCCCAACATACCCAAGCCCTGTCAGTGGTACTCATGAATGCCATACAACTACCTACAACAGCGGGAACAGCTCAAGGTCTTCCGCTGACACAAAGGAGAAAAGCTTGTCTCTCCAGACGGAGCTACCTGTTCCACCGTGGGAGCAGGCTGCCCAGACCACGCTGCAACACAGAAGCAAAGCAGAAGCCAGCTCTGACCAGCAACATGCTCCCTGAACATACCCCCAGCCCTCTGCCAAACTGCACTAAGCACGCGCACATCCTCAGGTGGAGTTCAGAGCATGGGAACTGACCTCACATGCTGGAGATACGGCTACGCAAAACTCTGGGGCCCTGTTCACAACGTTACCGTCACAGGTCCCATCACCAACTGCACCCACGCACGGCCCGTGCCTCCGGCATTAACTGTATCACCTCTCTTTGCCTTCCACACGTAAGTCAGGGCAAGGGTTCTGGAAACGACCTGCTGCCACGTAATAAGAGTTGCGAGGAAGGATACAGCAGCAGAACCATGCAGTAGACCCCCGCCCCCCCCCCCACAATCTTATGAAGGACACCTCTTACGCAAAAGGCAAAGCTGCCGGTAAGCTTTAACAAGGCACGACCGAAAACACCTGCGCAGAGCATCAAGAAAACAAGCAGGAGACACGGGCCGGACGCCAGCGCGAGGGCGGCGGAGCAGGCGGCGCAGGGCGGGCCCGTCTCCGCGGCCCGCAGCCCTCACCGGCCCCCCGGCCGGGGGAAGGGGCAG